GTGATTTACTATTAAGCTGTACTGGTGCTGGCATGAGAGAGGTCAGTAGGAGTGAGTGGGAGTTGCCAGTTAACCACCTATTCTACGAAAAGCTGAGTAAGTACTTGAGCTTATCCTGCCCTGTTATCCTGTGCTGACCTGAAACTGCTGTCACTTCCTAGTTTACAGCTGATTGTTTATTATCCTACAAAACCAAAAGGCTTACAGTACTTCTTTCTTTTTTTTTTTTATTTCAATCCAGAATGATCTGGAGAGGAAGTAAAGCTTTTGAATTAGTTGGGGTGTAGAATTGGATTTTGGAGTCTTTTTTGTTTCTTTCAGGAAAAAAAAATTATCTGCATCATTTTACATTAGATATGTTGCTTAATAAGATGCTATTATTGCATGCGATTAAGAGATTTCTGAGTGACGAAAGATGTTTGTATAATGGTACCTTTTCAAAGTTCACTAATGCTTAATGTGTGATGCATGTTGTATCAGAAAATGATTACAACTTTTTAAAGAAGTGTTTTGACAAAAACCTTTAAGAATAAAAAGTGAAACAAAGTTGTAGAGTTTGAATTACTTCTAATTTTCTGTACTGACTCTCAGCTGAGGGAGGCCTGGTTGGATTCAGTGGGCTAAGTCCAAAGGCAGAGTAATGTAAATTACAATAATTTAAGAAAAAAACTAGTTGATGAGGCTCTGAAATTTAGTTACCTGCTGGGCACTTAAAGGTTCACATGTTCTGTATGTAAGGTTAAGAACATGAGTGTTACGGCCTTTCACTGAATAACTCAGGAGGGATACTTCTAAAAAATTTATGATCACATCTTGGTCTGAGAAGGTAAGCAACAATGATGACAAAACAGCTTATCAAAATATGCATGCTCTGTCAGATCTGTCAGTTTAGAATCTGAAGGCAGTACTGCCTGAAATGAGACTTTTGCTAAGCTCTGCTCTTGCTTTTGTGGCGGAAAGTCAAGCTCCTATAAAAAAAGCATGATAAGTTTTTTGAAGGTATCTACATGTCTGCCACTGTTCTGTATCTTGTTGTCATAGTAAAAGACTCTCTCCTAAACTGGGAAACAGTGGGTTGAATTCTGTCATTTTTTGTTTAGTTTCTACAGAAATAGAGACCAAGTGAAACGGTAAACATACGTACCAGGAGATAAAGAATAGGGAAAGGATGAACAATATTTTTCCTCCTATTGCAGTATAGACTATGAATTGTATGCAGAATGAAGACAAGACAGTTACTTCACACTTAATTTTGGTATGCGTGTGTGATTGTGCAATAGAGGAGGATAAAGATTAGTGAAATATTAGTGAATGTGCTTTTAGAGAGAACTTTTTTAAGTGTCACCTGCCAAAAAAACACATAACCTTTTCTATTACCAGGTAAAGAGGCAATCAAACCATTTTCTGGCAAAGTGAATTTTAAAAGTGATCTGTAGAAGTAAACTAGTTGTTGAGACTACGAAAAGCGAGAAATACTGTGTCTCCGAGCTATGCCAAATAGCTTTTAAATAGTAGTCAGTTCCTCATCTTTTCTCTCTCTGAGGCTCGAAGTTGTTATTCTGTAGATAAAGGCTGTTCTCTTATTGAATGATGTTAAGGTGTTACAAAATGTTACTTAGAGCATGCAATTTTCTAACTCTAAGTGTGATATTTTAAGGCAGACTAAAGATAATATGTAATTATTTAGCCAACCCCTTTAATCTGTACTTTATAGTGTACAGGAGTCTGTGAAGAGTACTGGAAATACAAACATCTGTGGTTTTATGTTCGTGGCCTGGTTCTGTCAATTTTTAATATTTGGTTTCTGTAAGTTTACTCCCTTGGCAGAAAATTGTTAAGTAATGGACAGGAATGCAAAGTACTTTTCCTTCTGCTTTAACAGTGGCCTTTGGGTATTTTTATAACTGAATAATAACACAGGACTTTTATAAATTGTTAATTGCAGGAGGGTGTTTCCCTCTAGTGTCACAGGATCACTGTAGTCTTAATATTTTATCAGGTTGCAGAGAAACATGGAGGATGAGCTCTGTGGAGGTTTACTGTGTTGTGACAAGAAGAGTGGGTTATGTTTGATTAAAACAATTTTGACAAGAGCAGAAAAGTTTTATGAACTGTTTTTTATATAAATACTTGAAAAAAAAAGTTCTTTGACCATATGGAAACTATATTTTAAATTTAAAAATCAGTTTTTCTGGTAGCCTTTTGACTACACTTTTTCTTCTCCATTAACTTTTCCTGAGTATATACTGCATATTGTCTGTGATGATTTTTGGTACTATGACACTTCCTTAAATATCAGTGTGTTTTGAGAGGGACAGGTGAGGTTATGAATTGAGCATCTGGGCAGCTGTTCGTATCACCTAGGTTAGTGTGGTGTCCTTGTGCCGCATTATTTTTTTGCAAGGTTTCTTTCCAAAAAATTCTGTCCCAATGAGGGCATCCTCCTTTTTACGAGCTGTACGGGTTTGTGTGGTGGAAGGGTGTATTCTGGGTGTAAATGGGATCTTTCCCTCTTCTGTTCTCATATGGTCAGGTACTCATTCACTTTGTGGAAGGACTGGTTCCCTCTGCTGTGTGGAGGGAGAAGTCCACCCACGTCACACAGGGCACTGGCTGGGTCTGGGAGAGAGGAGAACCACCCAAGGTAGGAGCAGATCAGGTCCAGGAACACCCAGAGAACCTGAAGGTGCACAAGTCCATGGGACCTGATGAGATACACCCAGGGGTCCTGAAGGAACTGGCAGCTGAAGTTACTAGGCCACTAGCCATCGTATTTGAGAAGTCGTGGCAGTCTGGAGAAGTTTCTACAGATTGGAAAAAGGGAAACTTAACCCTCATTTTTAAAAAGGGAAGCAAGGAAACCCCAGGAAGCTACAGAGCAGTCAGCCTCACCTCTGTACTAGGTAAAACCAGGGAGCAGGTCCTCCTGGTAACAGTACTAAGACACATGAAAAATAACAAGGTGATCAGTAACAGCCAGCATGGCTTCACTACGGGCAGTCGTGTCTTACTAATTTAGTGGCCTTCTGTGACGAAGTTACAGCTCTAGTTGATATGGGAAGAGCAACTGATGACATCTACCTGGACTTGTGCCAAGGCATTTGACAGTGTCCCCCATGACACCCCTGTCTCTAAGATGGAGAGACATGGACTTGATGAGTGGACCACATGGTAGATGAGGGACTGACTAGAGTGTCTCACTCAAAGAGTTGTGGTCAATGGCTCAATGTCCACATGGAGACCAGTGGCAAGTGGAGTTCCTCAGGGGTCTGTTCTGGGTCCAGTGCTGTTCAACATCTTTGTCAGCGACATGGATGACGGCACTGAGTGCACCCTCAGTAAGTCTGCCGACGACACCAAGCTGTGTGGTGCCGTGGACTCGCTTGAGGGAAGAGATGCCATCCAGAGGGACCTTGACAGGCTTGAGAAATGGGCCAGTGCAAACTGCATGAGCTTCAACAAGTCAAAATGCAAGGTCCTGCACCTGGGTTGGGCCAGTGCAGGCACAAACGTAAACTGGATACAGAGTGGGTTGAGAGTAGCCCTGAAGAGAAGGATTTAGGGATGTTGATAGATGAGAAGCTCAACATGAGCCGGCAGTGCGCTCATGCAGCCCAGAAGGCCAACCGCATCCTGGGATGTATCAAGAGGAGTGTGGCCAGCAGGTCAAGAGAGGGGATTCTCCCCCTTTGCTCTGCTCTTGTGAGACCCCACCTCGAATACTGCGTCCAGTTTTGGTGTCTCCACCATAAGAGGGACATAGATCTATTGGAGCGTGTTCAGAGGAGGGCCACAAAGATGATCCAGGGACTGGAGAACCTCTGCTATGAGGACAGGATGAGGGAGTTGGGATTGTTCAGCCTGGAGAACACTCAGCTCTGGGGAGGCCTTGAAAGAGTCTTCCAGTACCTGAAAGGAACCTACAGGCAGGCTGGAAAGGGACTTCTTACAAGAGTGTCCAGCAATAGGACAAGGGGAAATGGATTTAAATTGAAAGAGGATAGGCTTAGATTGGATCTTAGAAAGAACTCCTTCAGTACAAGGGTGGCAAGACTCTGGAACAGATTGCCCAGGGAGGTTGTGGCTGCCCCCCCCCCGGGGAGTTTCAAGGGGGGGGTGGGAGGGGCCTGA